TTTTTTTTTTTTTTTTTTTTTTTTTTTTTTTTTTTTTTTTTTTTTTTTGCTGTGGGCACTTTGTTGTTTGTTTTTTGAGACTGGGTTTTTCGGGCTGGAGAGAGGGCTAGGATGTTAAGAACTGACTGTTCTTCCAAAGGTCCCGAGTTCAATTCCGAGCAACCATGTAGTATGGCTCGGAACCATCTAGAGTGAGATCTCATGCCTACTTCTGGTGTGCAGGCAGAATGCTGTATAAGTAATAAGTAAATAAACCTTAAAAAAATAGTGGACCAAGACAGGGTTTCTCTGTGTAACCCTCCTAGTTGTCCTGGAACTCTGTAGACCAGGCTGGCCTCCAACTGAGAGATCCGCCTGTCTCTGCTTTCGGAGTGCTCGGATTAAAGGTGTGTACTACCATTACCCAACCCCATGGGCACGTTTTTGAGTTGTTGACTTCTTAGGGTGAAATTCCACCATGTTAGAAAGACAGTATCTATGGAAGCCATAGTGTTGAAAGTTTTCTCCCTGGTCTCTATGGTGACATTGTGAGATTTAAGAAATCGGTGGACACTGTATGACGTGAGGTTTACCTTGTTACACTCCTAAGGCAGCAATGTGCAATGTTATTTAATAGTTAATTTAATAGTTATTTAATAGTTCCACTCAGGTAAGCTTAGGGTATAATCCTTAGTTACACCGTGCTCCAAATGCAGAGCAGCTGTTATCACCCTGTCCATAAGGTCCTGGAGGGATTTACTTTACACATTGCACTTAATGGTACAGGTTTTTTGTTTGTTTATTTGTTTTTGTTTTAAACCACTCACCAAAGGAGCCTATCCTGAAAGGAAATCCCCTTTTCACCCCAGCTTCAAAAGCTAAGTACCATGAAGCATTCTAAATCTGCTAATGCCAATTTGGCTTGATGTCTCTTAAGCTTTTCTAAGACCTAAATCTCTATTGTCATTTGTTATCTCCTGAGTGATTTAGTCCAGATGCTGAGTACAAGTCTTTAAAGAGATTTTTTTTTTCTGTGTGTGCCTATGTGTCTGCCTATATGAAAACTGTGCATATGTGAGCACGAGCTTGTGGGTGTGTTCTCGTGCCAGGGGAAGCCAGAAAAGAGTATTAGTATTAGTATTAGTATTAGTATTAGTATTAGTATTAGTATTAGCTGAAGCTAAAGGTGGTGTTGAGTTTGCTTATGAGCCACCAGACAAGGGTACTGGGAACCAAACAGGGGTCCTCTAGACAAGCGGCTAGAGCTTTTGATGAGCAAGCCATCTCTCCGGGCCCTTTAATTAGAAGAAATGATGCACTCAGTGTGCATTCCTTTTCCTGTTGCTGCCATCATTGCTGTACTAGCACCATCTCTCATGTGCTCAACTGAAGAAATTTTCTGGTCTCTCTCCAACTTTGGCTGCTTATGATTCCTCATGTCACAACCTAAGAGCTTCCTTAAAATGTAAACTAGATCCTCTCTCACACACGTACTCTCTCTCTTTCTCTCTCACACACATAGACTTGATTGAAAGTCTTCGTCTTCTATTCAGAATAAAATCCTTGCCTGGCATGGTGACTACACCTTTAATCCCAGCACTCTTGGGAGGCAGAGGCAAGCAGGTATTTTTGAGTTGGAGGCTGCCTTTGAGTATCAGGCTTGCTAGATACTTCCTGCTTGCTGCTCTTTCTTACCATACTTTGTGTGTCTATATTCTGCCTAGTTCTGTACTCTGGAATCTGGTCACATCAGTATATTCCTGCTTTCCACCCTTTTGTTGTTGTTGTGTCTAAGGTTAGTATTTGAGCTACTGCCTGAAGGTCTTTGTTTTTCCTGTACCCTTGTGCTTCAGAATTCTCTAAGTCTGCTATGGACAATTCATTTCTGTCATTCATTGTACAGTTCAGATATTGGTTGTTCAAAGAAATTACCCCACTTCTCTGTTTTGTTTTTCTTTTTTTAAAAAAATAGTTTGTTTAACTTTATTTTATGTGCATTAGTGTGATGGTGTCAGATCCCTTGAAATGGGCATTACAGACAGTTGTAAGCTGCCATGTGGGTACTGGGAATTGAACCTGGATTCTCTGGAAGAACAGACAGTACTCTTAACCACTGAGCCATCTCTCCAGCCTCCCCCCGCCCCGTTTTGTTTTTCTTGACCACTCCATTTACCACTACCTGGACTGCCTTAATTTTTTTCCTGCTTCTTCCACTGGCAGTTCTTCAAAATAGCGTAATAGGAATTCTGTGACTGTTCTAAATAAATGAACTTGTGGCAGTATCTATGCACCTCTTTAGGTATGCTCTTTCTCAAAAGGCTAATTTTCAGCAGCTTCTTATAGGACAGTCTTAATTCTGTTTAGTATTCTTTGGCATTTGGGTCAGAGAACATCCTCATTCTAGTTTAGACCTATACAGCCTTGGAGAGTGGGTTCTCAGAGTCTGTATCCTTCCCTAACCCACTTTTCTGTGGTGCTGCAAATTGAGCCCAGCCCTTTGTAGTTGATAGGTAAGTGAACTACCACTGAGTACACCAGAGTGTGGCTGTAACCTCTTATTGTTTTGGGGGGTTTTATATAGCCTAGGCTGCCTGGGGCCCATCTTGAACTTCTGATCCTATTACTTCCACCAGGCTTTGGATTTTTTGAGGCCTTGTCTTGGCCTCTGTAACTAGGGCTGGCCTTGGTTAACTGGAGGTCTTCCTGTCTTTTCCCAAGAGGCTTTCCCAGTGTAATTACAGGTATGAGCCACCACACCCAGCTTCAAATTACACTTTCAACAAACCCTTTGGGTGATTTCATTGTACATTAAAGTTTGTTAATGTTTCTTGGTCTTTAATGTCTCTTTTTTTCTGGAAGACAGCTCCTATATGGTAGTTCTGATTTGGGGGAAACAGAGTGTGTTAGATAGGGTTACTATGCTAAATATTATTCATTTTTTTCCCTGTTGCTACAGAGCAACCAGATATGTTTCCCCACCCACATCTTATAAATGAAGACATAGTGAGTGGTTGAAACCCAAGTCTGTACTTCCTCAGCATCTTGCTGCCTGTGAGCTACAGCATTTAGAATTATACACATTCCTTTCACCAAGCTGGGCTATTTTTTATGATTTTTTTTATTTTCTACACACAGTGTTTTGCCTGCAGGCGTGTGCACCATGTGCTTGCAGTACTCGCAGAGGTCAGAGGGCGGCATCGG